GAGGTCCACCTGCTTCAAATCTTACTGAAAGCTCTTTTCATGTCATAATTTCTAAAATGTAACTAAAATGTAAAAGGTAACTTCTTTTCTCAACCTCTTGGAATATCCGATCATAGGTAGTACTGACAGTAATTTAGTGTTCAAGGAGGTTGAATGAGTGAGTGACAAAGAGAAATGTATCGTCAAAAAGCTTAAAGTAAAACGTTCTTGACTCTTGAATCATCTTGTTTTTCTTTGTAGGATGAAAACAAGACGAAGGACAAGAAAGGAGAACTAACATTCGTCACAGCTCATGCTACATGGCTCCAGATCATCCAAGAATTAGTTTGGACATTTTTCAGTTCCCTCCAAGGCTCAATACTTTGCAAAACTTTTCTGATTAGCTTCTTTTCCTCTAGTCATGTACTTATTAATTGCTTTAGGCTTATTGGCAAATGTTTAGAAATCAAGAGCCCTTTTAACAACTACCACAATTGTGTAAAGTCATCAACTCATAAACTGCTATAACTTAACCTCAGAACCTTGATTTTAACTTATTTCAGAGCAGGCTTGAAAATCATGAGACTGATGTCTTATAATATAATGTGCTTGATGTGATTTTGTCTGATATCGTTTACTATAATTATCAGACAAAGTTCTGTCACTTTCCTTACAGGATAAAATGCCGATTTTACATAATTTGTTTATCCAGAACCAGATCTTTCAATTGATGACCACTGGTTTGCCCAGTTGTTGTCACTAAAAAGGAAAAACAGCATTTCAGTGGTAACTTATGTTTTTTTAACTTAATATTAGGTACTAAGCTAATTCGCAGTAGTTTTCAGAGGCTTGGGCCCATCTTTCAATAAAAAGATTAATATAGAAAAAGGACAGGAAAGGAAAAATGGAGTCATTGTCAACCTATTCAAGCCTCAAATGTGCAAGTTAAATTAACTGAGGTACACCAGGGCAATTGCAGAGTAACGTAACCAAGGGATTGAGACTTGAAGGCATAATGAGTTGTGGTGTGGAAAGCTTTACTGTTCAGTATTCAAGAAAAAAATGTCAACCCCTTTGAGGTCCTTAACTAGGTAACTAAGGTTATAAAGCCCTGAGTTGTGTCTGGGCTTTCAGCTGCTTGAACTGGAGCTTAGATGCATTATGAACAGTAGTGCTGGAAGGGCTGGGATCAAACCCTCAATATTTTCCATCTTGCTTTGGCCCACAGGACTTTGCACTCTTTGATCCCTGAAAAATGTTGGGAGATGACTGAAAGTTGAAGTAATCATCAAACATTTTTGCGTGATTCCATTACTTCCGGACAATTAGGTGAGATCACTGGGCACACCAAAGTAATGTTCTGATATTGCCAAACAGCACCTATCCTAAAAGAATTTGAACATTTCCCCACAATGGCAATAAGTGACTGAGTACAAGTGTATTACTGGGGTGCAACCGGCTGATTTACTTACCCAAAAGTTGTTTCACTAGCTAGGGCCACAAAATTTCGTGTCTTACAGAAGTTCTGTAATTTGAATTTCATAAAAATAATAATTTTCGTAAGAAACTTCACAGGCCTGTTGGGCAAGTGGAGGACAGAATTCACTAGCTCCAAGATATTGGACACTGTTTTATTTACAGGTTGACCATCAGTGCTTTTACTACGGTACTTCTTGTTTTGTCTTAGGTTTATTTACGAAATTGCTTGCTTTGGATCTTTGTCAAGCTCTGTCGTAAATTTTGCACGTAGGTTATCCAATAATACTAGTGGAATAAGTTATATTATAATTGTGTGTCATTCCATCCTTTCCTTTTTAGTGAACATCTTTTATATTTAATTTACAGTTTTTGGGGCTATTGGAATTTGTTTGTAGCAACAGGAGGTTGCCATTTTAATAAAACTTTTGAATGTCTAAGTATACTTGTTTGGTGGTATATAGTTCTGGGAAGAACAATACAGTGGTCCTGAAGCTTGGTCAATGAAAGATGTTTTGTAGTTAAGAAATAAAAAACAAGTAGTTTTTGTATCGAGTTATAAAAACACAAGTGGAAGTTTGGGAGAAGAAGAAATGCTGTGGGAACACCAGAGCCAATAGGCAAGTGTTTCCACAGCTTTTTCAAGTTCTCCCAAACTTCTATGAGTGTTTTTATAACTTGATAGAATCACCGAGAACGTGTTTTCTATTTCTTTAAAAAAGTGAGCTGCGTTGAAAAAAGAAAGCAATTCAAAACATTATCCAAATCCTCTTCACAGACACCTCGAAAACACTAAGCAGCCATCATTTTGTTCACAGCTGCACACTGCTGCACCACTCTATATCTATAACAGAATAGGTAGTGAGTAGTGTAGCCAATCAGAGAATGGCACTTGTTATAGAATGTGAGTAAAATTATACTACTATGAGAGAATAGCTGCTACACATCATATCCTCAACTTTCTTCTTGGTAGTTGGAAATGAGGTCTTCAAAGTGCGATGAAATAACCCAGAAATGTGCTGTTTCAGAAAATAACCATACCGTTCCAACCTGGGTTGTCGTTAACATTTTCTGTAGAGGGCAACTGGTTTTCACAGGTGGGCAAAATTATCTGAGCTGAACATCTAATATAAGAAAAACGTTCCTCTATATGGTCAAACTAGCTGGGCAAAATTGTCCTCAAAGCTGGCCAATTTGCCCGATGCCCGGCCTTTAATGAAACCCGTCTTTTTGGTTTGAACTGCAGTTTGACTCTTACTAAAACTGTTTGCTTTTGAACCCCATCCCCTCCTTTGGAATTTCCAATACCCTTCTAGGGGTGGGTGTGGGTATTTTCTGGAACCACTCAATTTTCTTCAGAGCATTGGCTCTAAAAGGAACATAGGCACGCAAGGCGTGCAAGAGTTATTTTTTTNATCCATGACCTCCAGGTAACAAACAATATTTATAATATTTTCTTCTGAAACATTCTGCATAAAACTATTAACAATTTAACAATTCTATGAACTATACATGATAAGCTTCCCTCGGGGTTTCTCTACAGGGACATGTTGGGGAATTCGTGTGCATTGCCTGGAATCCTTCCTTTGTTTAGAGAGCAATATCACTCTGGATTCTGAAGTGTCCTGATTAATATGATGTCTGAGAAAGCTAACGAGAATGGGACAAAAAGTCTAAGAGTGCCTCACTGTCTGCATTGAGATGGTGACCATACACAAAGCAGGGTTTGATTCTAAGAAATACATCACTAAAGAAATTTACTATTAAACTATGCTTAGACAGTGCCCTAAGAAAGTGTTAGCCTGTGTCACAGCTGCCCTCCCTGAAAGAAAAAGTGGGAGACAGGCTAGAGAGTTTTGACAAAATTTGATTTGCCTCACTTGTGAAAAACCACTTCCCATAACATATTTTAAAGAAAGGAACAGATTTCTCACAGGCCATGCATGGCAGTGAAACAACTGAGTGATGTGATTTGGTGAGTAATTGAACTAGCTAGCTAGCTAGATCAACCTTGAAAGGAAGGGAAAAAAACAAAATGGGTCTAAATAACAAAGATCAAAGTTTGCACGATCTTAAAAAGCAGTCATTGTAGCATTTAATGGTTTTTTAGTTATCTACTACCAAGGAAATAAAACTTCCCCAACAAAGTGAATTATCTGTAAAGCAACTTTTTGTCAGCATTATATCTCGTCAGAAGCGTATCACCTCTCGAGGTGATATGCTTCTGATCCTGTACAAAGAATTGTATACAAGGAAGAAAGGTCCACCTAGCCTAAAATAACCAAATTCCTTGTTTTAAACCACCTCAATCTTCTTTAATAAATTGTGTTCCTTCTTACCTTTATAATATAATCATTTAGATCTGCTCGAAACAATGTTTCAAACCAAGTCTTAACATCTTAATTTTGCATTCACTACCAAACAAAATGTAAAAAAAATAAAAATTGATTGTATGAAATTTTACGTGATATTTAGCAAGTACTTAAGACTTGTCAAAGAACGAGAACTCTGTAAAGGGACCTTATAGCTGGTAAAAGATCAGACGAGGGCTTGTAAGAAAGCTTGACTGTATGTTAAGTAATAAAAAATATTAGTTTTACAAAACCAAGTCAATATTATTACCAATTATATTATTTTGTTATAATTATATTATTCTGTTGTTTCAAAAGTAATCGCTTTGTTATCTTGTCTCGGTTCACTTTTTTATTTACAGGATAAGAAATCTGAATAAGCAGACTGATAAATTATTATTAAAGGTGTGGTGAATGGTTGATGCAAGACTTTATGAGGAGCAAGACTAGCATTTTTCTTTGTGAGCATGAGATACTTTGACTTTTAAATTGTGAGACCAAGACTTCAAAGTGTTTAACTGGGAGCATGAGACGTCAGGATTTAAGACATTTAGACATCATAATTTATAAAAACAAACAACAAATCAGGACTTTGAAACTTTCTTGGCCTTGCAAAAATTGATACTCCATGACAGTCTTATGAAAATATAGAGATTGCAAGACCCACAAAGCACTAAAAGAATGAGACTGCAAGACCTGTGAAATTTGGCAAAACCCATGGTTTTTTAACGACCAATCATAGCCTGTTCTTAATAATAACGTAATAGGCACTGCTACCTGGCCCTTCCCATGTATTACATGTCTGATGTACTATTTTGAAAAACTGGTCCTGGTGAACAATTAAGCCTTGAATCTGTGATAGTACCCAGTTATTTTAATATCTTGATTGCATGAAACTATAGATTTTAAAAACCCCTAGTTGTTTATGAACTTGAATTTAATAGAAACACTTGAAAAGCTGAGGTTTCAAGCATTACTAGCACGAAGTGCTACCTCCAGTAAAAGGCTCAGAACTACCTTTACCAGCTTCAAGTTGATAATCAACTGGTGTTTCATGTGCCTGGCACTGTTATAGCAAAACAGTTTTTTTAGAGAGTAAAGACAAACATTTAGTTACTTTTTCATTACCGAAGAAAAAACTGCACTTACATTATGTCAAATAAAATTCATTCACGTACATACCAGGTACGGCTTAGTTGTTCACAGGCTGAATAATGCAATCCTCGGGCACTTAATTAAGTTGTTAAATTATTGGAAACATTACATTTGAATACCCTACATGAATTGCTTAAAATTTGCAACTATACCAATTTCTTTTTTAAAAAAATATTACATTTACATCCTATTGATCTCTAGCTCTGTCAGCTACCACTATCCCTTGTGACAATGTGTATCTGAAATGAAGAGTCAATTGATTAACTTAAATGAGATGTCTTAAATTTTGGTAGCAAAGAGGTTCTATCACTGAAAGTTCGCCTTCGCATTCTAACTTTTATACAAAAAAGCTTGATAACTATTTGCCAACAAAGAGGCAGTTGGAATGACATTTTAGTCTGAGTAGGTTTAAATGCAAAACTCTGTCTTGGGACCAGACAAAATGATTCTGATAGCAATAACAGTGATGACAAAGAGAGGACCAGAATTGGACTAAGTTGCTCCCTGCTACCAGAGGCTGCTTTGTACATACAGTCCTGAGTATCCATGTGCCAAGAACCTCAAGGGACTCTATACAATCACCTCTCCCCCCCCCCCCCTGGAGAAATCGTCCATCCACCTGATCCCTGTGAAGTGTAACTTCTTGTAATCAAGTTATCAATTGTTTGTCAATGTGAGTTTGACCCAGAAAATCATGCACTTGTCTGCTTAGGGTGCACTTTTTAAATCAAAAGGCATCTTTTAATTTCTTCCAACAAAGGAGTTCAATTGTTGTCATTATTTACTATAATGTTTCTGGGATAACCAAACATCTACATTTGGTTGGTAGTTAGTACATTTAAAGGAGTTGTACCCAGTTTTGTTGTTACCTCACTTAAAATGATCCAGCTTTCACTATTGTGGCCTAATACACGTATTCTCATTTCCACCACTTTTCCGATTCCTTGAGGTACTGTGCCCTCTGCTAAGCCAGTGGCTGTGAATGTGCCCACTTGGGTGTAACTTGACAATGGAAACTCGTACTTCATGAAATTTTTCTTTGCTTCAGGTGATCCATCTCGTCCAGGTTCTAGGGACAAAATAATTCTTTGAATTTAATTTGCCTGTCATTTACATACTTTCAATAACATGCAAGCTCTGCTCAATCATGGGCTACTTGGCTTGTATGCAGACTTCACCTCTACCTTTACCTCTGCTCAATCATTAAGGGTTTCATGTTCTGCCCCTCAAGGTTCATTGGTTTTCATCCTAATTATGATCGACAGCAGCCAAAAATGCAATTGTTACATGTACAATTGAACCCCTATTAAACGGCCACCTATTACATGGCCACCCCTATCAGGCAGCCAGTAATCAAAGTCCCAATGAGAGCTTTTCTACTGTTTTTACCTCTATTAAGCAGCCAGCCCCCTTTCCATTTTGACAAGGGTGGCCATTTAATAGGGTTGACCTATAATTAGGTTTTGAATTTGCTAACTTCAGAGTTCTCAAGTTATTGAAAGGCACAGCTAACATCGAATAAATAAAACACAGCAAATAAATTGAAAGTAACAAAAAGTTGGAAATTTCATCACTGATCTTAAGTCATGCATTGAAATTGTAAATCAGACCTGGCATCTTGTGTGCTTGAACTAATGCTGACACTGGAAGAACTTCCACAGAAGCATTTCTAATAAAGTCACCAGGATGTTCAAGATTTCCTGACTTGAAACGAAACCTGCCACATGATAAATAGTGAAAGGCAAAATAAGAAAATTTTGATGAATAGTATATGGGGCAAATGTTTGGCATTGAAAAAACAATTAAAGTTGAGGTTCTTTCCTTACACATATCACATACCAATATTATTTTGGGTGTTATGGCTCAACTGTCAACTCAACTATTGCTTTGTGCACCCCCCCCCCTTTCCTCCCTGCCCCTCCCCTCATACACACAGTGTGGTGCCTTAAATGATGAGTAAGTTGCACTCTGGATTGCCCAGTTCAGGTCTGAGCACTAGGCAGGGTCATTATTTGTATGTTCTTGAGCAAGAAATGTCACCCTCAGAGTGCCTGATATACAGTAGACCTACTATACACTAGTGAGATCTTGTGCATTTAACGCATCTGTCAGCCAACATACTGCCAGACACATGCAATCAGTTAATATTTTAATTTTATCTGTAGAGCCACCCTGTAGCATAAACCATGGGGATGTGTCATTGCCAATTCCAACATAACCATTTATAATATATTGGTGACAAATTACTTCTTAATTTTGGCACAAAATTTCAGCATTAATTTATAATTTCACAAGTGAAATTACAAATTATAAATTGCCATGGCAACTTCTAGCTTGAAATTTTTCTATACCATAAAGAAGTAAAAAAAAAACTGTAAGCATAATTTATCACCCATGATATTGAAAGGTAATCAAATGGTATACTCGTGACAAAAATAATTTCAATTGCATTTTGTCAAAATTCTAATACTAATTTGTAGTTTTCTCTGACAAAACACACTCACCACCATTTGATTACCCATACTAATTTACATATCTTACTTTTCTATCATAATTTCTTGATGGAATTTGAATCTCATAACATCATCAGCATGGGGAGGAAAAGCCCAGAAGAATGTCTGCCCCATATATGCACGGTCAATCATGTATGCTTGGTAAGATTCCACTGTTGTAACAGCATCAGCCTTAGGGTTCAAGTGAGCCTGGAATAATGGTGCTTTCTTGAAGTCTTTATCCTAGATAAGAAAAACACGGAGAGTTAAGTGCCAAGCTAAAACTGTTTACTTATTAAGATCTTAGACAACAAACCAGAGTTAAAATTCTGATTTCTGTTTTCTTACAGCTTTAAATGCAACACAAAAATTTTTAACTCTCCTATCATCAAAGTACTTATCCTAGAAAACAAAACACAGATTTCAACTTCTTAGTATTTCACCATNGAACCCAGACTGCTTGATCTGGGGACGAGTGCAGTAACCATGAGGTCACCTATATTGTTAGCTGCAGCTTAAAATTACTAATAGAAATAGACAGGGAAACACTAGCAGTCTTCTCAGAGATAGATGTGTATTAGCCAGGTCAAAGAGCTTAACTACACACAAAGTAATTGAAAAGTTAAAAGCACTGAACATTCAAGCATGTTCAACCCTCGAGAGAGAAACCTTGCAGGATTCTTAAGGCAACAACACATGCCCTTAACTTTTACTTCTAAGATATATTAAATGCAGCAATAGACTACACTGTGGTCTATTTTATACAGTCAGGCTCTAAGCCAGGATTTGAAATTTACTGGGTGTCCAAAATGTCTTATAGGGTCTGCTCAAATGAAAAAAAATATTTAATATTATGAACAATTTTCTTTAAGAAGTGGGTGTCCACAAGACACCAGGATGTTTATCTGGCTAAAAGCCTGATTTCATACACAGTAGGATTTAAAAACATTTTCAATCATACTACTTACAATTAAGTTTTGTTTCTTTCCTTTCAGTGATGATTCTTTTCCTACATGTTGAAATAGCGATGGCTTGAACCTAATACGCAGGTGCAACTTCTCTCTTGCACAATGTTGCTGAAAATAACAAGGATCATTGTGAAACACTTCTTCCAACAAGTTTTAGTGTCAGTAATAAAATAAAGCTCAACAAATTATGTGCCTGTTGTTCCAGGACTTCATCCATGCCCACTCAATGGAACTGATCCACGAGAATTCCACGGGAGGAGAGTTCAAAGCCAAAGGCAAGGCTTGACACTACATTTTTCCCATAGTGGGCATGAGGCTAGTAAGTTTGAACAAGTACTGTACCTAAGTCTGCAAGAAGGAAACTAATCCCTTTTCGAGATGTATGTCACGTTTTCAAGATTGTAGTTAAATTATTTATCAAAGGTGAAGCTACAGAAATTTACAAGTAATGCCAGGAAAAGTTGTTTTAGGTAAAGATGAAAAAATTTGGCGGCAGGAAATAGTTTAGCTGTACACTCCGTGAAAAGCCACTAGAGCCTAGAGGCTACTGCAAGGCAATTCTTACTAGCCTAACATGAAGTTTCTCTAGTCTCCTGAAGACGTCTAGCATCATTGTCAAACCTTGAAAGACAAACATGAATGTCCAACGGAGTGGACGGCACAAACCCAAAACCCTCTCTCCATTGGAGGGATACGGATATTTTTGGGAACCACACATTCAGCACAGCTGCTTAATCATAACTTACTGCATCTTTTTCTGGGTTGCAGACTTTCACCCACAGGATGTGATCCATAAGCCAGTCGACTGGCTTGTCTTTATGAAACATTAGGAAGAATTCAACCACCATACTCAGATCACTACAGCGAAAGAGCTTCCCTGTTAGAGTCCCAAACAAACATACAGTTAAATAACACAAAGATCATTTTGATGTGAAGTTCCTATCTGAATTTATTTAATATAGGTATTATGCATCATTGATTTAAGAAAAAGAAAACGTTTGCAATTGTGTTTCTGCCAAGTTAGAGAAAACTAAACTTTCATGGGTGTTTTATTTAACAATGAGATTATGGGGTCAAGATTTCTATCACACTTAGAAGTCAAGAGCGAATACTGAATTTTTTCTAGTATAAAGCTACTAGTCAATCTAAACTTTATCTAAATCCACTGCATGGTTAGGAAACTTAGCAACACAAAAACAGATCAGTCAAGGGCAGAACAACTTGCAACGACAAGCCCATCCATTAAATTACTAATGATATTTTTTTTATATACCTATAAATCCAAGTGCTGAAAACTCCAGTATAAGCCAATCATTTGATTCCTGTTGGAGCGCAAATGTTTTTATTGTAGAGGCGAATGAAGGAGTGGCTACAATGTCATCTTCAAGCTAAATATAAACAAACAGAACAAAATATGCTCTGTCAGCCAAGTTAACAACACAATCATTACGTTTTACTGCACTTTTCAATAATAATTATAATATTTTATAATTTATTAACAGTTAATATAACATTACCCTTAAGTATTTCCATAACAGACACCTCATCAGGGAAGACAACTATTTCATATAAATAAATGTTTCTTTGAGATATTGAATAATAAAAAGCACAAAAAAATTGAAGAGAAAACTCCACCTGAACATAGAATCTTGCTTTCCTCTGGCAATACATCATTAAAAAGCAAAAATCAAGATTCTGCTTTGTTCTCCACCTAAATTCAAATGATAAGACAAGTAGTTATTACTTTCAATATGTCTATCACTTGACAGTATCACATAGCTGTTGTACCTACATCACTCAATCACATAATCAGAACGACATGAAAGCCCTCTACAACATCACCGTCAGCTGTCAGGTAGGAGAGTAAACACCAACAAACCAGTGCACAGAAGTAATTGCACCATTCTCAGTAAGACATCAGACCAGCTCAATGAATGAAAGGAGCACTTCAGCAGCCTGCTCAGTGGCACACCATTTGTCAAGCCACTGGAGATTGAGGAGGGAGATGACCTGGACATTAACCTTGGCCCCATCACCAAGGCAGAGGTAGTAGAGGCGATCAAGAAAATCAAGGATGGTGAGGCACCAGGTCCAGATAATATTCCACCTGAAGTCATGAAAGCAACCACTGGGGTCACTGCAAATATCATGATTAACCTGCTGCAGGATGGGTGGGAGAAGGAAGAAGTGCCAACGGAATGGAAGACAGGCTATATTGTAAAGATTTCCAAGAAAGGGGATCTTAGTGACTGCCGGATTGGAGAAGAATCCAACTTCTGTCTCTGCCAAGCAAAATCTACACTAGGTTGATTCTGGAGAGGATAAGAAAAGCTGTGGACCCCAAATCAAGAGAGGAACAAGCAGGGTTAAGGGAAGGTAGATCTTGCAAAGACCAGATAGTTACTCTCTACATCATCATTGAACAGTCACTAGAATGGCAGTCACCACTGTATGTCAATTTTGTTGACTTCAAAAAGGCATTTTACATGGTGGACAGAACCACAATTTGGAGAATCTTGACGCATGGCATGCCCCAAAAGATTGTAAACATCATCCAGAGCTTCTATGAAGATAACAGCTGTAGAGTCATCCATAACACTGATTTGTCTGCACCCTTCACTGTCAGCACAGGAGTGAGACAAAGATATATCTTGTCCCCACTTATCTTCTCACTCTAGCTATCAACTGGGTGCTGAAAACAACAATGGAACAGCCAAGAGGCATTCAGTGGACCCTCATGCAGGAGCTAGAGGACCCGGACTTCGCTAATGATGTTAGTCTACTCTCACACACCATGGGGCATATGCAGGCTAAGACCAAGAGACTGGAATATTGCCAGGACAGCAGGTCTAGAGATCAACATCACAAAGACCAAGAGTATGCAAATAAATGCAAGTCAGGAAGCCCCCCTCACTGCTGATGGAAGGGCATTGAGAAAGCTGATCGCTTCACTTACTTGGGCAGCACTGTGAGCAAGACAGGAGGCACAGATGAGGACATTAAGACTAGGATCAACAAAGCACATCAAGCCTTTGCTACTCTTAGACCAGTATGGAGGAGTAAAAACCTCAGCAGCTGCATGAAACTGAGACTGTTCATCAGCAATGTCAAATCAGTTCTTTTGTATGGCCCAAAGGAAACCTGGAGGCACACCAGGAAATGAGACCACAAACTGCAGGTCTTCATCAACATCTGTCTCAATCAGATTCTACGCATCAGATGGCCACAGCACATCTCTAACCAAGAATTATGTCAAAGAACCGGGCAGGAGCCCATCACTGACACCATCCAGAGAAGAAAGTGGAGATGGATTGGACATACCATATGCTGAGAGAAAGCGTCACCCGCCAAGCATTGGACTGGAACCCACAGGGGAAACGGAGGAGAGGAACACCATGTTTGACATGGAAAAGAACACTACAAGCTGAATTGAAGACCATCAACATGACCTGGGAGGAGGTGAAGAGGGCAGCTAAAGACCGAGAAAGATGGAAGCTAGTAGTCAGGGCCCTATGTTCCACAGGGAATGACGAGGAATAAGAAGGCATACTGGTCTAATCTAGGCAAATGAACCATTTAACAAGATGTTTCTTTTCACTCTGCAAAGAACATAAACACTTTGATATACTAATATTACTAGGTGCTTACTTGACTCTCTCTCTAGAATCACCAAATGTCAGTGGCACGCTGTCAAGGTCTGGGTAATAACTTTCAGAAGGTGAAACTATTTCTACTAATCCTGAATGAACATCCTCAAGAAATCTGAAAAGCAAGTAGCAGCCACATATCATTACACATGACACTCTGGACACTCATGTTTATTTTACTACTCCGAATCAATTGCCATTACCACAGTTAGGTGGCACTACAGTACAATTCTTTTTTGGGGGATGGGTATTCCAACCAGGATGGAGTACCTCCTAGTTGTTTCGTGTTACAGAAACTGGAGATAAGGGCCAACCTGATGGGCTACTTGGCTCATATGCAGACTTTTACCTTCACCACCCCACAGTACAGTCATTGTAAGTTTTCAGTAATGAGAAAACATATTTTAAAAGTGAAATCTACCTTTGTTTGATGTCATTAGCCACTGCTCTACTAAATTCAATATCAGTCTGAAAACACAAATAGAAATAGCATTGAACTTCAAATCAAGCACCAACAGAGCTGATTGAAGCAAAAAAAAAAAATTAAATTAAAAGCAAGTAGGTTAGAGTGTATTTCTGAGATACTTCACTGTAAGTTTTAATCTAGCTTTTACCCTCTATGAAAATAGGTCCCCTAAACAGCGGTCAAAATTAACAAAATTTTGTTCGCCAGATCGTAATTTTTGGTTCCTTTTTTGTTTTTCACTGATTTTTTTCTTCTTTTTATTAATTCTGATGGACACAATCTTTGATATAATTCTAAGTTTACGTACAAAGAAGCTTACAATTATGTAACAGTAAAATTTTAAAGGAAGAACACATATAAACATTATGAAAATTAATATTAATCGGTGCCAAAGCAGCTTCAGTCGCCTGTTCCCTGTTTCCTCATTTTCCTCATCTAGTTTTATATCTATGCATGCAATTTTTGGCACTAAGCCAAGGCTTCATGCGGTTGACAGACATATTGGAATTAGTCCCCTGTTCTGCCACATTGTTGGGAATCATACCAGGCTGCCTGCATGTGTTGCCTAGTGCATCCATGATACCAGTCTTACTAAAGAAGCTGCTAAATCCCAATGGCAATCCCAGGGTTGTCGATAAGTGCAGGGTGCTGGCAAAATGCGCTGGCTGCCGGCAAAATTCACCGACTGAGAGAGGGGTGATTGCTGGCTGGATTTTGGTAGGCGGTCACTCGGTAAAGGACAACAAACTTTTTAGGTTATGCATGTACAATTATTCAATATCTGAACCATACTGAACCATCTTTAGAAATGAAAAGTTTGGAATAAATTTCAAACTATCAATGTTATCAAACTATCAATATTAGCATATTAGCATATTAGCATGGCCACTCCAAAACGTGCTCTCTTCATCGGGGCAATATTCTTCCTTGTTACTGCTACAATTAACGTCTCTCTATTACCAGTTCATAGCACTACAAGCTGCCCTTCATCTACCACTGATTTTTTTTGGAATTTCGCCGGAGAAGAACAGCTTTAAGTCCAATTCCTATTTCATCCGACAATCAACAATATGGCGGACCAAACGCTTGCTTGTGATAGCAAAGGTTAGAAGAACACAGCGTGCATGTGCATTGTATTGTAACTCTACATTGACTTTTCGACCGCTTCTCAA